ATAATGCTGTTATTATTTATATATTATGTGTTATTTAATTTAAATTACCAATTAATACGCCTCCATCGGACATGTGTTGAGAATTAGCACTTGTACTAAAACACTTAAAGCAATGAATCTCGTTTGTACAATATTTTTCTGTCCATCCGAAAAAAACAAATGTTATTTTATTTAGGTACAGTTTTTAGCTAACTTTTGTGTGCAGATCATTTTAGTTAAATCGTTATCAAAGTACTTTTTTTTCTTAAACCAAAGCGTTCATGTTCAAACTCTGCATAATCTTGCAGTGGCTTACAATAACATTTTTTTTTATGCTAGCTTGTTAGGATGAACACAATTGTAATGTACTATACTGTAATATTTTCAAATTGTGAAACAGTTTTATCCAGCAGAGGGTGTTATTGCTTTTGAAGAACAACCTAAACTCGTTCATTGCCGTTTTACGTTGTAGGACTTACGGGATAGCTTTTGAAAGAGAAACAAATAACAAAATGTAAAATGTTTTCCGATGAATACACTAATTAAAATCCCTCAGGGCAAATCAATACACTGGTGGGATATTTTCTGTTGCACACCACACAGAAGACCAGATAACAAGCAGAACTGCATGCAAGGAGAAATATCAATCACATCATTTGCATACTACACAGACACAATGTCCAACCAAAAAGTAGCCACTGTTACATGTTTTGTAAGTATTCGATGTTCTACATTCACTTAAAATAATTCCAAACATTGCCAAGTATTATTAATTCGCAAAGTTTACTAACTTAGAATTGTTGCAATGCGGTGAAACCACAAACATGTAATATTACTATTACAATTAATATTATGATTATTATTATTATTAATAGTAGTGGTAGTAGTAGTATAATTATTTGGTAGTGCTATACAGTATTGAAATTAGGAAAACATACAGCGCAATTGGGGTCTTTCTTTTACATGCTCGAGCAGCATGGCTGAACCATTGAAGGTAAGTGTACAGCTATGGCATAAATCAAGGCACGTTCATGTCACAGTGGTGGCAAAGCAAAGTGCCTATTTAAGGGAACTGCTGTCCTTATAACTCAAACACTGATGCCTCACATCGTGTCTCTGCATCTGCTCACAACACGACCTCGTACCGCACCTTCTCCTCCTAAATATTTAGGCCCTCTTCTCTAAATAAGGCAGCCTTATCGTAGTTTCTGTCATTTCTGCCGACTCTCCCCCCCCACAACCATCTTCGCTTGCGTCTGTGTGGCAGTCGCAGGCTGCAGCCTGTGCATTCTTTTGCCTTGTATGGAGAAATGGCCTGGCCCTGAGATGTCTTTGTACGGGCCGGGCCGACCTCGCCATTGGCCGGGACGGGAAGGGGAGGGTCTGATGCTTTTAACAAACTTTTCCGTGGGACTGCCCGCTTCCCTTCCCACTTAGTGCTGTGTCTGGAGCAGTGGACAAAGGGCGTTTGAGGGGACTCCCGCATAGTTCTACCTGAAGTCAAGGTCAGAATGAAAGCTGTTTTCCTACTGCATCGCACATGAAGTGTTGAGTGTGCTCTGAATTCTGTGGGAATGTGTTTGCGAGTGAAGATGTGGTGGTTGCAACACAGGGCACGCAGATGGCGTTGTTGTTGGATACTGGATGAAGCGGAGCGCGCTCTACTGTATGTGTGTTTGGTCCATTACACTGTGGAATTCCTCTGACCCATTTAGATCTCTTTTGCTCCCTCACCGGCGCTCCACACTTTTAGTGTTTTTGGAACTCCTGACCTTTGAACTCCACGGTTGGGTGAACAGTAAGGGATGACGGGAAGGCTGTTTAGTCACATCTGCCTCATGTGAGTGACTGTGAGTGTCGTTTGTGTCAGAGGAGTTGCGCCAGGATTAAAAAGATAAAGGTCAAGAGCTGTCATTCTCAACTGATGGGTCAGCACACAAATTTGGGGCCCACGCACACACAGTCGCACGGTACAGTATGTGCTTGTTGCAAATATGCTTTTGGCGGGCAGATAAAGTGAAACATAATGCCGTGAAATTTTGATATTTCATGGACAGGTTTATTTAATTAAAGTCACCATGTCTGTCTCACTGTTCGGATGGCAGAGTTTCGAATCTCGCTGTGAGTTTTGTCATCTACTTTGGCTTCTTCCTTCATTCAAAAAAATGGGGGCTTGTACACCTTGGGTAACAGCTTTTGGCACCCAATCTTTGTGGTTCCACATAGAACCAAGCATTATCCAGTGGTCCTATATAGCACCGAATGAGAACCAAAACAGTTATTGGATATTAACACTAATATATTATCTCATGAACTTTATCGTGCTATATCTAACCATGAGTACTCTGCAGAACGAACAAATTTCACTTCAATTGTGATGGTGGCAATAAAGTTCTGTTCTATTCTAAACAGTGGTCTACAACGGTCCTAGGAATTTAGCAAACTAGAGTTCATTCTGGAGCCTCCGAGGTACCTTTTTTAAGAGTGTGGCGTCCCAAAATGTGATCAGTTGAAAACGGTCTGGTCTCGCCACTCAAAAGCAGTGATGAAGACAGGCCAAGCCAAGCATAGCTCTGTTGCCGAGGTTGAAAAAAGTTGCAATTCTGTTTGTTGATTGCCCCATCGTGCATAGTCGAGCCTCGCTATATCGGACTGCACTCATTGATCATACTCTGTCCTGAAAACAGTCCTCTACTTGTTCCACTACAGCCAAAGAGTTAACACAATGAGAGGGCCTCAAATTAGACTGTTTACATTGGTGTTACTTCGACTTTAACACACACACACACACACACACACACACACACACACACACACACACACACACACACACACACACTGCGCGGTGATGAAAATCTAAGTGGATGAGGGACGGCGTTATCTGATTGTGGAATTTCATGGTTACTCAAGGGATAAGTTGGAAAGTCGATGCTGGTTTATTTCCAGTTTACCGTAATCTTGCACTGAGAGACCTTTAGAGACGTGCAAAAACACCTTTATTTTGATGAAATATTTTCTATGTCTGTATTTATTTATTTTTATTTATATGTCTGTATTGTAAATGCTTAATGAACTGTCACAAAACAAAATAGCAATAGCGAGGATGACTTTCTGCTTGCCAAACTGTGTACAGCTTAGAAATGGTTTTAGTGTATTATATCTTATGTCTTAGACTTTACAATAGGGTTCTAGTTTAACAAGGCTTGTTATGGGTCCGCATTGGAAACAATGATTTATGTTGGACCAAAACCTCATCTGGTAAATGGGCTTCCGCTTGTAAAGCGCTTTCCCACCTACGAGGCTCTCAAAGCGTTTCACGGTCGCCTCCTCATTCGCTGACTGAAGACGCAGAATCAGGAGCAACTGGGGGTTCACTAACTTGCTCAAGGACACTTCAACATGGGCACAAGGGGATCGAACCCACAACTTCTGAACAATATACTTTCTTAGTGGAACAAAGAAAAAAAATTGATCGATCAATGCAACAAAAAAAAAATGGCAAGGAACTGATGGGAGTAAATGCGTTAGTTACACAAAAACAACGTTCGAAGTTAAATGCTGTCAAGTGATTGAAATGTGGAATAAAATGAAACTATAAATAGAAGTAACACTTGATTGTTTGAATGAAAGTTGAGTTGTTGGGGGTTTTTTTCAGCTGTAATAAATGATATTAGTGTTTGCAGTCTGAAATAATGGTAGAGAGCAGGAAAGCGAGGGCATAACAGGAAAGGGTCTGGCTTGAGCCAAACTGTAGGCCAGACGTGAGTTCAACTTTTTGGTATGTTCTTTGATGCCAGTAATCAGGTTATTTATTAACACGATAAAGTAGTACCACTGGATTCTTTTTTTCTTTTTTTAAATGCATTCTTATGATGAGATCACGATGACACAAGTGCGTTCAGTAAACCTCACACACTTTCAGGAGGCGACATGCCTCAGTGAGTTAAACACGACCGACTTCATCTCGCGCGCGCCGGTGGAAAGTGAGAGCGTTTGTCATTGACATTGTTCATCACGGGATTCATTTGATCAAGTGTTCAAATGCGTGAATATCATTAGGGCACCTCCTGCTTTACCCGAGGATGTAATGTGAGGCAAATTCGATTGTTCCGGAGTCAAACCAGCGCAAAAGCTTTATACAACCTTCACCATACAATAAGTGCACATATTATTTGTATTACGATTGCATTTGAAGTGGATTGTTATCACCATTTGGAGAAAGAGTAAACATGCCTTTGGGGGCAGGATGGGGGACAGCAGCCGTCCTCTCGATCTGCAACTGGTTGAAATGGAACACAGTCGTGTGTGGCTCAGGGACACAAATAGTCTGATGTCACCCCCAGTGTGACTCATCCATTAAAATGGACCTCCTCCATCCTGCAGAAACCTGAACGTTGTCTCTTGGCCTCGACAGCAATCACAACACAGACATGCCAGAGCCGAATATGAGTGACAGGTCTATTTGTGGGTGGATGTCAAGTGAAGCTACCGTGGGGATGTGTCATTTTCACACCCATCACTGGAGAGAGACTGTGAGAAGATGCTACAATGATGACAACCCATACTGTTACTGCACTGTGTAGTGTTTGAACCAGGGTCCATTTTGGCAATTCCGTTCACCTTATAGATTGATTGATAGATGTAATTCGATTAGCTACAGTCAATCAATCGTTTTAGGGTGTAAAAGAAGATAAAACTAAGTGAAAAGATGGAGGGTGAAGCCGCAGCTTGTCATGTCTATACCCTAAAAAAAAAAAAAAACACACATTTTAGTAAACGAAAGTCTCATGCGGAGTCAAACAAAGAAAAATATGGTTTAAGAGAGGGTACATAACTAAAATTAAATTAGCCCTCTATTATGTAACAGACAAGACACATCCTTAAATATATCTGCAGATAAAAGACGGGAGTTGTTTAGTTTGCCAGCGAGCTATTTGTATACATGCCATGAAAGGCAATCTTCCTAAATATGACTCCTTTAAATCAATTTGTGCACATGCAGGCCAAACTTAGCTGCCGCCATGTCGAGCAAGCGCGCCAAGGGGAAGACGACGAAGAAGCGCCCCCAGAGGGCCACCTCCAACGTGTTCGCCATGTTTGACCAGTCTCAGATTCAGGAGTTCAAAGAAGCCTTCAACATGATCGACCAGAACAGGGACGGCTTCATCGACAAGGAGGATCTGCATGACATGCTGGCCTCTTTGGGTACGCCTTTCAATTCCATTGGACCGCCTCGACATCACCATTGTTGGTTTCATCGGATTGACGTAATTTTCTTGCCGTCAGGCAAAAACCCGTCTGATGACTACCTGGAGGGCATGATGAGCGAAGCACCGGGACCCATCAACTTCACAATGTTTCTCACCATGTTTGGAGAGAGGCTCAACGGCACCGACCCAGAGGACGTCATCCGCAACGCCTTTGCCTGCTTTGACGAGGAAGGGTCTGGTGAGTCGGTACATTTGGATCACTGAAGTCAAAATGGATGCCGTCTTTCTGTGCAGAGGCAGGTTAGATTCGGTGTTTCGCAGACAAGCTCAGATCGGTGATTGAGAGGAGAGGTCTGCGCTGTTGTGGGGGTGATAGCTGTCGTCTTGAATCATAACCAATCAAAGTAGCTCCTCTCATTCCCTTTAAATGTGGCGTGCTAGTCGCGCAGTGACAATCTTGACAAGTGTGTCTAGCACATTTTTGAGTTCGTTTTGTCCGATCTTTGTATTTTCCATTTTCCCCTCAAAAGGTGTCATCCACGAGGACCATCTGAGGGAGCTGCTGACCACCATGGGTGACCGCTTCACAGATGAAGACGTGGACGAGCTCTTCCGCGAGGCGCCCATTGACAAGAAGGGAAATTTCAACTACGCCGAGTTCACCCGCATCCTCAAACATGGCGCCAAAGACAAGGACGACGAGTAGAGGAGAAAGGGGGTGCGACCACCCACCTGCCTCTGCCCCCCCTCCCCCACACACATCACCACTCATCCATTTCTACGTCCTACTTTTATGAAGTAATACATGTCATAAAATTTTATAAAGTTCGGGGATGCATTTGCTTGTAAGATTCTACCTTGCAGGTTTGTCATGAAGAAGTGTTGCATCTTAGCTACTCATAGCTTTGAGATGCTTTTTACACCACGTGTGCAAGCAGCGAGCTGATTGGACGGTCAGATGCAAAATATCAGAAATGTTTACCTCTTCCTGCCATTTAGCTAGCACACGTGCAAAAAGAATCACAAGCTCCCAAGTTGGTTTGTGACATTTAAATGGATCAAGAAGTAGATTGTTTATTCCTTTCTGACAAGGGCGGGGGAACCTCTGGCCATAGAGGCCTGCAAGAAGATTTGAAGCAAAATCTCAAAGGAGCGGTGATCAAAAAAATGTAATAATTGAAACCCATAAAGCAATGATATGTAGTAAAAATGAGTCGCATATTTTGGCATGATTTAGTAGAAGATAACTGAAATGGCCCCTGTCAGGAAATGTCCCTCCACCTTTTTGTATGACAATCAAATGTGGGCTGTGCAGGTATGTGGACTTGATGGAGTGGGATTGAAAGAGTTTGTGGTCAAAACTCCAATTTCAAAAGCTGGTTGTATGCAATTGATCAGGATCATGTGTGGTGTAGAATTGTGAAACCGCAGGTGGAATTTGCTCAGGTGAAGAGAAAAAAAAAAGGTTTATCCTTGCCCATAGGAAGCTTTTTTTTTTAAAATGTTGGTTTAATAAAAGAAATGGATCATGATGACTGAGAACCAAGCCACTCAATAAAAAAAAAAAAAAAACAATCCATAAATGCCTCGAAGTGGTTTTTAGTGCAACTTTGTATCTTTTGTAAGGTAGAAAAAAAAATGTTCCATTCGGGGACTGAGTGGGAGGACTTTGATGACAGCAAAGCCATCACATTCTCTAAAGACACTCTCCTGTTGTCGCCTATATTTGTTGTCTGGAGCATCTATTTCGCATGATGAGTCATTCTAAAAAACACTTTTTTTAAAATAAAGGAACACTTGGTAATGACTGCTGGTATTTGGCTATCGAGCGGCTAAAAGGTTGCTGTCCAGCAGAGTAAAGAATGTGGAAGAGTAACCAGGATCTACTTCTTGGCAGCGTTCACATAAATAAGCCGGTGCTTGGGGCAGAAATAAGGCCTTGACCATTTTTTTTTTTTTTGACTCGATGTACCCAAATTAATCGAGGAATAGTTTTAGTCCTAATGGCCCTGGACTTGTACTTGCCACTTACAAAGTATGACAGTCTCAAATGTTGTCTTTCAAAATTCTAATGCTAAAATAGCCATCAAAACGTCATCTGGCTTATTTGCAATACTATAAAATACCACAACACCAAATGTATGAAAAACTGAGCTTTTATTTCTTTGAAACGCTTATACAAAACACACTTAAAGTTTAAGGCATATATTGCACAAACTATTGAGCTCAATTATATATCATAAAAACAAAACAAAAAACCAGGGGGTCTGGAGGGACATCAATCCCTCAGTCAACGGTTTAAGGCACAGAAGCCCGTCATACTGCTAACGGTCAGTAACATCGTGAAGATTTTTTGAATGGGTTTGGCAGTGAAGAAATGACAATCTTTGAGATAAATATGCCATGACCAAACTAAAATGACTTGACCTTGAAAATATTTACATACAAAACCATTTTTACCCCCCAACTGGAATGTCAAGCATCTAAAACATACAAAAAAAAGCATGCTATCTAAAACCTGTCCGTCTAATTCTTTTCACCAGACATCTCCAGAATCACAAGCCACGCAGTAGTAAAAAATAAAAAAATAGTACTTTAATACTTAGTTCTCTACGCAAGACCTAATCCTGGCGTGACCGGTGTAAAATGAGGTATAAATGCACATCCATTGACAACAAGAACAAAACCTGAAAAGAGCTGACAGTAATGAGATTCAAACAAACAGCATGGAGGAACTGGATGACAAAGAAAAAAAAAAAAAAATCACCCATCTCTCTGAGCACATGCAACGTACGTAATGGTACAAACTGGCCATGGTTCAATGATTCTGGTAAACAGGAACCTCGCAATTCTGCTACAGTATCTTCTATGCTGTCGACGTTCGGCCGCACAAATATATTGCAGGTATTCTAAAGACAGTTTCATGGAAACTACAATTTCATGAATGACTGGACATTTCTAAAGCACAGATGGAGGGGGGGGTGGGGGAGAAACATGCAATATACCTCAATAAACAGTCAGTTGTGACAGTCAACTTTGGCCAAACATGAAGGATCACAAGAAGATGAGACTTGTCAATCGCCTCGGACAAAAAGGTGCCGAGTGTCACGGAGCTGCAAGATAAGCGTGATGTCATCAAGCTGCTACACTTGACACCATCGCCGGCTTCAGTAACAGACCCCAATGTGACCGTCCTTTCATTCCGCAAGCCCCCCGTGAGGACAATACTGTTGGAATGGACGACAACGCGTCACAGGCACACAAGAAAATCCTTTGGCTATAAAATAAAGACAGGGCGACTGTGGAACGAGATAGAAGTGGTACAGCATCACTGAACAAAGTCACAATTTACTCCAGTTAACCCCCATGAGAGAGAAACATCCAATGAGGATCATTTGAATTGTGTAAAAAAAAAAAAAAAACGACGACTATGTTCTTAGTGTCACAACACTGAGTAAAAAAACAAATGTAACATGTTTGAAGAGATTTTATACATTCGAGAAAGACTGCTACTGAAGGCATCGCAAACCGCACGCGACTATTCATGTGCACTGAATGGAATGCTCAGAGTGTTGCTAACAGCAATTGCTTGATTCTGAAGCACTTTAAAGAGGAAGCGAAGTCAAAAATGGTCTTCATAATATGTGCGGATATGAATTAAACAGCAAAATCCATCTGGTATTATCCGGCTCAAGGGGCGGGCATTTGGCCAATTTGAGCCGATCGGCACTCTCATATCATTTTCAGTTGATAGAATGTGGCCACTCCCGTGAAATTGATGAAAATGGGAGGATTTCATACTCCACATACGCAACATTAATGTGGGGGCATATAGAACATATTGTAAATACATTTTTTTGGACTAAAGGGGGGAAAGTTGCTTGAACCAGCAGCTCTATAAAAGAAAAATGACTCCTCTAAAATAAAAGTCCTGGATCTCGAAGGAACATGTGTCGACTCAATGAGAAGTGGTGATGAATTTCGTTCAGTTTTCTGTTTTCAACAGTGCGCCCCACTGCGACCCCAAAAAAAGGTAAGCACCTGCGTTCTACTCACTGTGTGCAGGCCGTGTGTTGGGGGCCCCACGCTGCGCCGGTGATGGGCGCCTTCACGACTTGGAGTGGGCTGGACTGTCTGGCGTCGGCGTGGACCATGCTCCACATGCTGGGCACCACTGCCGATTTCCTCTGTGAGCCGCCCCCGCCGCCGCTGGCGCCGCTGGCTGTGGTGAGGTGCGGGGAGAGGCCCAGTAGAGGCGCGACCGTTGACCTCGACGCTTTGAGGACTTGAGATGGAGCCTGGCCGGAGGTAGCGACGGGCAAGGGCAGAAGGGGTTGCGAGGCCGACGACGGAACGGCGAAGGGGAATAGCTGGGATTTGTGGAAGGGAAGGTAAAGCGGGCCTGGGAACGAGGTGACAGTTGGACTGGGAGTGGCTGGAACGAGTGCAACGGCTGCTGGTATGGCCTGGCTAGTCAAAAATGGTCTTCATAATATGTGCGGATATGAATTAAACAGCAAAATCCATCTGGTATTATCCGGCTCAAGGGGCGGGCATTTGGCCAATTTGAGCCGATCGGCACTCTCATATCATTTTCAGTTGATAGAATGTGGCCACTCCCGTGAAATTGATGAAAATGGGAGGATTTCATACTCCACATACGCAACATTAATGTGGGGGCATATAGAACATATTGTAAATACATTTTTTTGGACTAAAGGGGGGAAAGTTGCTTGAACCAGCAGCTCTATAAAAGAAAAATGACTCCTCTAAAATAAAAGTCCTGGATCTCGAAGGAACATGTGTCGACTCAATGAGAAGTGGTGATGAATTTCGTTCAGTTTTCTGTTTTCAACAGTGCGCCCCACTGCGACCCCAAAAAAAGGTAAGCACCTGCGTTCTACTCACTGTGTGCAGGCCGTGTGTTGGGGGCCCCACGCTGCGCCGGTGATGGGCGCCTTCACGACTTGGAGTGGGCTGGACTGTCTGGCGTCGGCGTGGACCATGCTCCACATGCTGGGCACCACTGCCGAGTTCCTCTGTGAGCCGACCCCGCCGCCGCTGGCTGAAGGGGAAAAGCTGGGATTTGTGGAAGGGAAGGTAAAGTGGGCCCGGGAACGAGGTGACAGTTGGACTGGGAGTGGCTGGAACGAGTGCAACGGCTGCTGGTATGGCCTGGCTTGCGGCGGTGATGGAGGTAGAAGCCGTAGCTGGGACCGATAGTGGCCTCGTCACAGGCACAGGACTATTTGAGGCTGGGGCTGGATCGGTACAATGTTTCTCACAGTTTGGCTGCCCAAACACTGTCACCAAGGTTGGCACGTGGGCTGGGATGAGCTGTGACTGCTTGCAATCCTTCTCCAGCGGACTCCAAATGACTTTGGGCGCAGGCAAGGGGGACAACGTGGGGGCTGAGACCAGGACTGAAGCTGCCGCAGGCGTAGCAGAAGACTCGGGAGTATTTGAAGCTCTGGCTGCCACGGACACAGCCATGGCCTTTTCCATCAGACTCTGGACTCTGCATGGATCCAAGACTTGCTGGCTGTCTTCAGGAGGAGGTGTCGGACCCATGTCACTCGCGCAAGGGCTACACTGTGACTCCACTTTCTCAGTCTTTACAGGTTCTTTCAGAATGTTGGGGCTCTCCTGGATCTGGTTGAGGTGCTCCTGCTCCGCTGCCCTCTGCAGTGCTGCGTCAACCAGAAGCTTCAGATCACTAAAATCCTGAGTGGGGATGAGCTCAGGTGGCGTCGGGGGAGGGGTGTTGAAGAGGCCACCGGTTGGGCTTGTCGCCGCCGCCGCCGCTGTTGTTGTGTTAGCTCCTTGCTCCTCGGCCTCCCTCAGCAGTCTTTGTGTGTCGAGCCTCATCAGCGCCTGAACAGAGCCGTCCTTCCCGGGATAGCCCGCTCCGGTCAGAATCGCGGTGGCGGTGTTGCCGAGGACGGCGAGGTCCAACGTCGGGGTCGAGCGGATGACAGACGGCCGCTGTTGAGTGGAGCCGGCGGACGAGTGGCTCTCGGGGGAGCTGGCGCCGCCGCCCGCGGACGAGTGGCCCTCGCTCTTGCCGCTCAACTTGCGGGAGACGGTGAACTTGGTGGGGTCTTTGCCATCTTTTCGCAGAAGGTCGGGCAGGAGACGGCGGCGTGCGTTAATGAACCAGTTACATATCTGAACAAGAGGAACAGGGGGGTGGACATTAGTAGAAGTCTTGAACATGATTGTAATTAAACCGTGACACAAAATCATTATGCAGCCAAGACTGAGGAAGAGTCCCGATCGTAAAGCACCACAAACTTGGGCTGACGTGACCAGACATGACCTCGCTCCCTTTCGCGGTGCAACCTCCTTAAGACACATGGCAATAATGAAGGCCTGCGCTCAAAATATTGAACCACAAGGAAAAGCTAGCCAAAAGACATTCCAGCGAAGCGACTACATGAGGAAAACTTGTGGCTCGTGCACATCTTTGTGATGAGACGAGAGGAAATGAAAGAAACGTCGAGGGCTTGCTGAACAGTCTGACTTATGAATGCTGGTCAAACGGTGGCGGATAAATGAATTAGCTCCGCCTAGATTGCATTTAAGCATTTTCAAACATTAAAAGTTCAGCGTGACGATGAAGATGAAGCCAGTATTTGGGCAAAACTACCGGTATGTAATTTGAAGGGGTGGCTATCATGATTTCGAAATGCCGTGTTCAAGGATCGTGTTCTTTGCAAGGCGAGTAGAGGCTCTTTCCCCATCTAAAGTTCTACAACTGAACAAAGCAAAGACTAATCGAGACCTATCTGCGACAAAAGAAGGGCCTTATCATCATCACTTCATCTGCATCTAAGCCAAAACAACAAAACCCGCCCACCAGAAAGAATCCAAACATTACTTTTTTTTTAAACCGTTTCAAGTGAGAAAATGTTGACAGTTTATTTGTTTTTGTACGAGTGTTGACGATGTCACTGTTTTGATAAAAATACAAAAAGGTGGTGACAGTTTTATTTACACATTAGCTGTGTGGTCATTTGTCAAAGCTGAATTAATTAAACACTAGCCAAGAGTTTGTGTTTTTGTAGTGCTGCTACAAAAAAGGTACAGGAGAACGTCTGGGAACCGTTTGGTGAACATTTGCGACCCTGAACGAATCCTGACGAGAACGCAACATTGGTTGTCCCCATACAGCGCTTCCCCACCCAGGACTTGACAGCATGGCTGGGCGAAGATGTACCACCTTCAAGTGACAGCTGGAGTACAGTCTGAAACAGTTACTATGTTAAAGCCAACAAGTAAACAGAGCTGCAGTGAGCTTTTTTTGGATGCATATATTAGCATTAGCTAACAGTATTAACTCCTAATAAGCAAGACACACAGTAGTTCATTGTTTGTTGAACTCGTCCGTGTAGTGCAAGGGGGGTAATTGTGCTTAGGAAATGTGTTTCTTGACAAACATTGCTTTTTTTTTAACCGTTTCCAGTGAGAAAATGTTGACAGTTTGTTTTTGTACGAGTGTTGACGATGTCACTGTTTTGATAAAAATACAAAAAGGTGGTGACAGTTTTATTTACACATTAGCTGTGTGGTCATTTGTCAAAGCTGAATTAATTAAACACTAGCCAAGAGTTTGTGTTTTTGTAGTGCTGCTACAAAAAAGGTACAGGAGAACGTCTGGGAACCGTTTGGTGAACATTTGCGACCCTGAACGAATCCTGACGAGAACGCAACATTGGTTGTCCCCATACAGCGCTTCCCCACCCAGGACTTGACAGCATGGCTGGGCGAAGATGTACCACCTTCAAGTGACAGCTGGAGTACAGTCTGAAACAGTTACTATGTTAAAGCCAACAAGTAAACAGAGCTGCAGTGAGCTTTTTTTGGATGCATATATTAGCATTAGCTAACAGTATTAACTCCTAATAAGCAAGACACACAGTAGTTCATTGTTTGTTGAACTCGTCCGTGTAGTGCAAGGGGGGTAATTGTGCTTAGGAAATGTGTTTCTTGCACGCACACAGTGAAGCACAAAGTGCTGCTTCCATGAGTGAATTAGAAATTAGTATTGTTGTCATTGTTTTTTGCCGATGTGCATGTTTTTTTTTTTATAGTTTTATTTAAGATTGGCTTCATATAGAATCCCTCCCTTGTTCAACCCTTCTGTATCGTGAGCATTTAATCATTTGCATGAAACAGAACCATCCCCAGAAAACAGGCCAACCCAGCAAAGCTATTGTATGATATCGAATACATACAGATTCAAATATATCAACTTGAAACGGGCTTCCTACCTGCAGCACGGAGAGGTTAGTCTGGCTGGACAAACTAAGTTTCTCCTGTTCCGAGGGGTAGGCGTTGAAGCGGTGCTCGTACAGCCAGCTCCTTAGAATCTGTACCGCCTCTTTAGGCAGGTTGCCACGGCGACGGCGCTTCCCGAAGAGTCCCCTTCCTGACAGGTCGAGGGGGGAGCCGTCATCGCTGTCCGACATGGCAGAAGACTGCTCCTGCTCCACATGACGCTCTTCTTCTACAGCTACGGAAAGGTGACAAGTGGTCGACCGTGTTGAAAGATACCGCATCCATTATACACAAACCCAAGAAAATGGCCCATTATATGAATGCTAATGAAATGGCTTTCAATGATCAGGTACCAGCAGCGAAACCTCGATAGGTCTTAAAAGCCCACTTCATTCCAAGTGAGGCTGTTGCGTTTGTCGTTGGGAATTTTGGGTGGGCAATGGAGGGAATCTCCACTTCAAAATGGAACATGCCTGATCCCATGGGGTGAGCCACAGAATGCACTAAATGTCTCTCTCTCTGCGGCTGAGTGAAACCTGACCCCCAGGGCAGAGCCTGTCTTCACAAAGGAGATTGTGTGCATATCAACATCACAGTGGCTGCTGGCCCAGGAGTCCATTGACCATGCGAGGAAGAAGCAAGCCTCAGTACAAGGCGAAAACTCAGCCACAATACAAATTTGTAACGTTGGCGTGTGTGCTAAACCCATAGTCAACACATTATAAATCTGCATTGGAAAACTGATTTCAACCACAACTAATTTGGAGAACCCCCGCTTCACTAAGTGTTTCGTGTTAGTAGTATGGAACTGTTAAAAACAACATACCATATGTGGGCCATATTCAGGAGTAGGAGCATTTCACTTGGCCTGCCACAACCTCTCGTTGGACAACTAAAGCTGACTACTTTAGAGCGAAACCTACAGCCTGTGGGCAACATTCAGGACTTGCAAGAATTTGACCCAACCTGTCAGACATTCTAAAAACAGATCAAATTTAGGAAGGAAATTCTATCAAGATGTAATCTACAAATGCTCAGGATATTGAAGGTTCGTGCGTTGAATCATATTTTCTCATAAAATTTTGTTAGGGCCCTCTGACATTTTTTTAAAAAAGAATACATTAAAAAAAAAGTTCAGAATTTGGATCAACTCTAGTCCATTTGAGACCTTTTTCAAAAAGTCCAACTTGATGTCTTCTCTTTGCCTCGCTCATGTTGTCGACTCCTTGCTTCTCCCAGCTGCAGCCCCAACGACATTGTCTGCCATTGGTGGCACCTCATTGTCAAAAGAGAGACCAAACTTTTTGTGTCGTTTTGTTTACAAGCGCATGCCGATTTAAAATCAGCCCGAGCGCGAGCCGCGTGTGCGAACTGTCTCTTAGAAGCTTTCTTCTGCCCTAAAAAAAACCTCTATTATGTTGAAACAGCGTTTTGAGTCGGTACTGTGTTAAATTGAGCGACAAAAAAAAAATCTCAGCATCGCACGAGCTCTTTAGCCGAGCCCAACAAGTTTTCATGCTAGCACGTTTTTCAAAGACATCCACGTTTGACGGATAGCGTTTCAAAAAAAAAACGGACAGAATTGTAGTTTGGGGATACAAAGGAGGCAGACGCGGAGCCGCATGTTGCTCGGCCAGATGGACGCGATGCCTTTGGGCTAGCGGGCTGCCTCCGGAGATAACTAGCTGGCTAGCTGTCCCTCTACAATTAAACACAAACACGCCGCATTGGCTGGCGACGCACGCACACAAAACACGCATTCCATACTAAACCAACAGCAAAGCCACATATGGGTCACGCGAGACAACCAGTCCCTGTTTGGAATGGAAACATAAGAGATTGCTATTTAAAAAATGAAATACCAAAAAAACACTTACTTCGTTTGAAGGCTTTCATTCTTTGTTGATGGCTGGCTGGAAAGCGCGCAGCTGTCCAAGCTGTTTCTGTGAGGAAGCGTGCCCGAGAGACAAACGACGGTTGACACAACAGCACTTTCTTCCCACGCGCTCCTTTTCCCTCGCGTCTTCCCCAAACTTAAACGCGTCGCATTTGTGGTTGTTTCGCGCGAAGGGCTTTGTGCGGACAGCCAGTTCCCATCCCACTGATCGCTTTCTAGCGAAGATAAATGTTTCCTTTCGGCGTCGCTTGTTCTTTACCTGCACGCAGCAAGCACAGCTCTTTGCCAATCTTGACAGTCGCCACTACAATGGTCCCGCCTCAACGACGGTTGTGGGCCAATCACGACCTTCCGTTTTGCCTCTTTGGCAGCAGTCAACCAATCACGGCGCTCGTCTGGACAACAGCCAGGCTGTGTCATCCAAACTGACGGAAAGACCATTCCATTCAAAATGTAAAACACATGAGATTGAAATAGACGATTCGAATCGTAAAAAGTCAATTGACTTACTCAAAATTGCAAGTTTCAACCGTTGCTTTTCCAAAGGCACGTCCGTGCTTCGTGGCGGCATGACGTCTCACTGGGACATATGTACTTGTCCTAGAAATTCTAAACATCGTGCTGGAGTAGACTTAAACGTATCAACGATGTTATCTACATTAAATGCTGGGTTCAATATGATATTAACATATATTAAAAAAGAAAAATAAATACTTTACATGTACATTTAAAATACGTCGTTTCGCACCATTGGAGGTGGCATGGTTTCGATAATTGAGAGAAAATCCCCCAATTCTGTCCAAGTTTTGACTTGCACTACGCCCCCCCCCACACACACACGCACGCACACACACACACAGAAAACAGCAATGATTGACCTTTTGAGAAAGTAATTCAGCATTTTATTGAACCTTATTCCTTTCCATGTTTCATCTGAAGAACCTTAAAATTGTATAAATAGAGCTACAGCATTGTAAACAATGAATTCAATTTATCTAACTTATATACACAGGTTTACTTGAAGAAGCAAGGGGATGCTAAGAATAATTTCAATATCAAATGCATTTTTCCATCCGCACATACACTTTTACACTGCCATTGGCGACAAAGTTAAAAGTTTGTTTTAAAGGACAACAAAACCTCACGCACATCCAACGGATTATTATACCAAAGAGATCAGTTTTCTTAAAAGTGCTTGCTTCATGAAACAAGTTTTTGCTACATCATCTCTGTGGTGAGGCAGAGGTTCGGCCCCTCACCCCTCCACATTCATTCCCCAGTAGGACAAAGCTAAAGATGCTAATGAACTTGCAAGTCAGTAGGCCTTTGGAATACTGTATGTGTGTGACTGAGGTAAACTATACAGCTGATGTACGGTACTTTCCTGCACTATTAAAGTGATTGGCAATGACATGCATGTACAGTAATTACAAAACAAAAAGTGTAATGAAAATAAGGACACCATTCTCAAAGTCTCAAGGACATAGAGGAACACAAATAAAAGTACATGACTGCTTGAATCGGAGGTGGGGGGGGGGGACTTAATTTCACTTTCCCTCAGTCCTGAATTGATCAACAAATAATACAATGATTAATGAAAAAAAAGTTTGCTATCATGTATTGTCGGTGTTTGTGGGTCATCTAGGGCTTGATTTGTTTGTAGAATTTATTTATAGGCTCGATCAAATTCTATTTTCCAACTCAAAAAAATCAAGCCTTTTTGAGGCCATTATTAAGGAAATATCAAAAGCTTCAACAGGAAACGCATATCCCAAACTGCAGCCATTTTGTAGCTCAGAAAAAAGCCCAGGAAATAGACATACCGATTGAGGTGATATAAGTTGGCCAATTGTGTACTGGAATGAAACTTTGTAGAAATGTAGATTTGTATTTTTTGTTTCCAACAATATCCCCTTCTATGTGATGTCATGTGCTCATCTGACTTCAACTCAGGCTGACTGACACATGTGCTTGGGAGGTTCCAAAAGGAAAAAAAAAACCCTCAAACTCGAATAGTTTTTAGATAAAGCTGGCAGAAAATGCACACGGGGATGATATTGAACTCTTATTGTCCACGATACTGCTTACCCATTGGCCCATTTTGCACACTTCATTGTTTTCCTGATGTATTTCCTCATACAGTACACAGCACAACATAAAAAGTGACAAATCTGACACAGATGGTATATAGGGTCTCATTTGCTTATTCCAAGACAATTTAAATAACTCGTCAGACAACTGTTCCCTACCAGTGAGAAATCAAATCAAGTCAACGACAGAGATTTCAGCTCAAACAAAAGACCTGGAGGTGATAACGATGCCATTCGCCTCAGTCGAAAAGGAAGGGACATTCACCCAGGAACAGGCAATTGACACCCCCTGAGCCTTCACCGTGCTCATCCCCAGCAGGCAAACCCAACAGCAAACAAAGGCCGACCATCAATGGAAAGCTCTCACCAGGTTAGAGAAAGAAAGGCGCTCATTGCGACATTTCCAAGTCAAAGCCTCGGGCCGCAGTTTTGGGCTGGAGGTGCCGACGATGAAGAAAATAAAGTGATGAAGTGACACTGCAGTGCATCGGCTGAACTCATTAGCCAGGGGAAATTTGTTGACCATCTGCTGAGATAAAACTGGCTTGGAAGACATGTAAACAACTGTAGTTTGTTTATAGGCGGGTGTGTTGACTTGAGGATTGGCCACTGTACTAAAGTCTAATGTCTCTCTTACATGTTACAAGTTCCATGACATGTTGATTTTGGGTAATATCTGCATTTGTTGATGTGAAGATCGTTATCTTGCATGCTCTCTAGTCAGGCGAAAAAGCAAGTGTGCTTAAACTCGGTTTGAAAGAACACTTAAACTTGTAAAAGGGTGTTTACATTTGTCTTATACACATTATTTTTATTTATGGAGATGATGCCAGCTGGTTTTATGAACTCTTAAGCTTGTTTCATTTCACACCTTCCGTTTTTACCACGGCAAGAGCTACCTGGTGCTGATGCTGACATTTATAGGCATGGCATGAATTGGAATGAGGGGGAATTCATATTTGGGTGAAGCGGTGTTCAAGTGGGCATGCAGCACTTGAAGAAATTATGCAAACACAGCTGCTAATGCGTTCAATACTTTAATTAAATAGGCTTTTCCAAATAGAAATAGCAGTTAATACGGACAGAAATACGATGTTTTTTTTTTTTAAGGGTTAAGAAGCAAAACAAAACAACAAAAAAGTTTGGGGAGATGTGGACGATTAAAAAAAAAAAAACTGATAAAGACAAGTTACGTGTTGCCAAAAAGAGAGTATTATCCTTTTAAAAGCACTGAAAATACACGGGGAAGCATTGAACAGAGAGATGAAACCTGAAAGTACTGTTTCGAGATTCTCATCACGTGAACATGTGTTCATTGAAAGCCATGATGAAACTAACCTGTATAAAGTCTTACCACTGCTCTTTGACACGAAAACATTTGGAGAGACACGTACGTGCTAGGAACTATACAAATCCCCCTTTCCTCGTATGACAGTTCAAAAATATTTAAAAACCTCATCTACAGTAAATCAGCCTTAAGAAAAGTAAACAAATCAGTACAAGGAAGACAGACGTAAGCGAGTGGGTTTTGTGTAGCGAGTGTGGTGGCCACAAGGCGGTGTTGTGCAAAGCTACAAAATGGCCAGTCCGGGGAGTAGGACGACGGCAATGGAAAGCAGAAAAGCCAAAAATGCTCTACTGTGTCCTCTAAATAGATCTTATAGCCAATATAGAGTTACATTTTAAACAATCTTCAAATATACCGAGGATGTGATAGGAATACGGTTATTCATTTAAGTCTTTTCATGATAAAGATTAGTAAAAAGTAATGACAAAGTTAATCTGCAGAGGTCTTCATTGGCAACTTTCAGAACACGTAAAATACACCAAAGTTCAATATTTATGTGCCCGATGCCTTCAGGACCAGCCTACAAACAAGTACCCCAAGTGGACCCCCACCCCACCCCAGCCAAGGGGGCATTTGGCCTCTCCTCCCCCACTCGATCCCACTCTTGTCATTTGCATTGCAAAAAGTGTCCTCTCTCGCTCCCCTTTGCAGGTATTTTTCAGTGACACTTATCCGTTCTATGATCTGACCTTACATTCCTCTCTCTCACTGTCTCCCTCAAAGGCGCGTCTGTGCTTCTGGAACGTAGATTTCAATGCTGTCTGCGCTCTCGGTGGCAGAGTTCTGGCGAAAAGAGGCGGCCTTCTTTGCCGCCAGGAGACGCCTGCGGGCCTCTTGCCTCTGCTTCTCCGCCGAAGCTGAAGAAGAGGTGGAAGAGGAGTCTGCGCTTTTCTCGCGGCCCAGCGACGGGCGTCCTTTAGCGGCCTTCCTCGACGCCGGAGTGGGTGCCTTCTCTTCGCCCTGGAAAGACGGAGCCACGACACATGACAGACAAGGAGGGAGCGTGATGAGAAAAGCGACACGAAGGCAAAAATAAAAACGGTCTTCGGAAGCTTCCACCAGATTTGACAGACGGGACTTGGACAGAGAAGACTGATCATTTTTTGGTATCTGACAGATTTAAGTAACTGACAGAACAAAAAAAGAGACAAGACATTAGAGACAACTAGCAAACAAAGAAGAGAAACAGTCCGTGAAGATCGTTCGACGTAAATGGTCACGTGAACTGAAATGGACATGGGATCAAACCTGGAGCACAACAGTATACGACAAAACAACACATACACATTGCAAAGCAACATGAAGGAATGTCAATACACAAAAAATTAGAAAAGGGCATTTTTTTTTTTTTGGAAATGCAGGTGCTGATTCCTGTGAAATATTCTTAATTGATGAATCAGGAAAGTCACTGGTTAACTTCAGTTTGACAAAAGTACTAGCTTATGGTTTCTTGCTTTGTGTCATGCCGTGACTGATGACAACACAACTGGCGCATTCACGGTGGTATCGGCCATATACCGTCGCCACCCAGCGGTATCGCCTGGTTTGTTTGTTTCCTTTCCTTAATGAGTGAAAGGGGGGTGGGGAGTGCATCTATTTGGGACGTGTCCCTTAATTATTTATGTGGACTACATACAATTAATTGGGGCACTGAGTCTATGAATGGGGAGGCCACAATACTGTATGTGCACTTTACTTTCACAGTGGGTTCAGAGGTTTAGGGAAAAACAAAAGGCAAAAAACTAAAAACTAAACTAAATGACTTTTGTTGTCAAGTACAGTATGTATACTGTATGTGTTCATTTCTATTCAGAGAAAGAACAAGTGACTTCGCATCTATAAGTGTATCTCTAAGTGTTTATATGCAGTGGACGGAATGTATACCGGAACATATCTATGTGGGTATATGCTAAGATTATGCATGTATTATAGTTTCTAATTCTAAGTAATTTGGTTTGCACTGGAGGATTGGGTGTAAAACATTTTCTTCTACAATTTTTTTTGGACTGGAAGTACACCAATCTTTCAGTATGGTATGATATTTATAATTCACATTACTACATTTTTTTTTTCGGACTGCTTGTCTGAAATTAACACCTGATCAATCAATCAATCGAAGTAGTGAAATCAGTGGTGTAACAGTGTATGCCAATTCCTATACAAACACACACCACATGAAGCAAATAGTTCCAAAGGGTTACATTGACACAAGCACAAACATTTGACAGAAGGAGCAAGAGCAAGAGCGCACGCCTTTCACCTGGTTCAGTACGTCTTAGCCATGCTCCACTACGAGCACATCACATGCATGGATGCCCAAAGCAGGGCTTCAAGACACACCGATTGCCCTCTTTCAGATGAATTGCTCCATGCATGCTGAAAGGGATATCTCTGGTCCCTTTCTGTCAGATCAATATCGTATATCCCACACAGGGATGTGGAGTCAAAGGAAGGTAAAAAGAACGTGGGCGAAATGGCGGTGGTGGTGGGAGGAGAGAGGCCGGTTTCGGCGGCTTTCCTACCCCAGCCAGGGCACTGGGCAGCAGGGGTGGGAAGTACCTTCCGCTCAGGGGGCGACTGGTCAGCCGCAGATGGCACAGACTGCCAGTCATTGGACTTGAGATGGTAGAGGTCATCAAACTTGAGGCTGATGTCCTCGATGGAGAGCTGCAGCAGGTCCCAGAAACCAGCCAGGTCCTGCGGTGTGGGCCGCGGATTGGCGTTCACATTCTGGCCAAGAGCGGGACAGGGAATCGCAATGAATAAAAAAATTAGGTGTGAGGAGGGGGTAGTTGCGTTTTAATAGATCAGACCATATGTAGGTAATTTGACCTAGAACATGTTATATATCTTGTACTTTCAGTCAGTATGGCAGTGTAGTGTGTGTGTGTGTGTGTGTGTGTGTGTGTGTGTGTATATATATATATATATATATATATATATATATATATATACATATTTATTTATTTGTGTTCAGCTGTCAGTTCAATGTTACATTTACTCTTTGCAAAACTCTACATGTTTTTTTTCGTGTGCTGTAGTAAAAAAAAACAACAACACACACACACACACACACACACACACACACACACACACACACACACACACACACACACACACACACACACACGCTAGAGCGAGTCTCGCATGTGCTCTCCACACGCACACGCACACGCACACGCACACGCACGATTGCGAATGGCTCGTATGTCCTAGCCCTATTGCTGAGAATCACAGCACTCTGTGTATAACCCCACATCATTTCGCAGACTTAGACACGCTACTGAAATAATTGCCACTAGGGGGAGCCATGCTCTAGCTTGTAGTAAACAGCTCCCAGCATTTTTTTTTAAATTTATTTTTACACACAGCTGTGCCTTGATGTGGGTTAAGGGTTTGTATGACACGGTCAAGGTAATTATGGTTGAAGACGTTGGTCAAATCATGTTCTTCTGGCACGCTGGGTTACACATCACATCCATTCATTATCTATACTGCACAGCAGTCCCACGATCAAGTCCACTACATATTTTGGACTGTGGAAGTGATCCCACACAAGCAATGGGAAAATATTTAATCTGTTCTTACCTTCTTGCTGTGATGAGATTAGATGGTTGATGTGGGATGCTAGCTATTAGGTTTAAGTAACGGGTGTTGCATTATGCTTCATTTTCCATGATGCATGACACGTCAGTCGAAAAGTACGGCTAAGTGGCTTATTATAAACTCTTTTTATTTGGCGTTGGTGTACAAAATTCTGACGTTTTCCTCTTTATGGAGGTGTTTAATGCACCCTGATGTGTCAAAACAATGTTGACTGTAAGATAAGACTGTGTTTGTGTCAGTTTGATGTGGGCATTGGCGTCAGGGCAAAACCCACCAAGTTTTGTTCACACAGTCCCCGGAACTGCTGGAACTTCTGCGACATTAAGAGTTGGGCACTTCCCACTGCGCTGCGGACTTTACCCAAGACTATATGGCCAAACATATAGAAGACAAACACATACATGTAAGTGTGCATCTTAGATACCTCACGAAAAGTACAATGTAGACACAGAACACAAAAAGTCCGGTAGCGGTCATCATAGCGGTTTCTAGAAAGTAAATACTGAGGTGTGTATGTGCAATGAATGCACTCTTCAAGTGAACACCGTTGGTGCACAGAGTGGGGAGAATGTAATCGCATTTGGGCAGTGTTTAACCTCTTTGAAGTAATCTAAGACCATATAGAGTAGATACTCAAGCCACTGGCCAATGAGCGGGTGTTGTGTAAAAACGAGGACAAGCAACAGTTTACAGTTATATTGTGACTGTGAATCGATCACCGCATCTGCATGACAGAGGTATGATAACGGACTCAACTTTACATTTTAAATTTGTGTACATGTTCACTTTTAAATTGTGTACATGTTCACTTTTAAATTATCGCGTCAGCCTGACGCGATAATTTAATCTGGAGATTTAGTCAGTTCTCAAGTAGATTTGTGTAATTCTGGGGATTGCAGACGTGCTTGTGTGCGGTAGCCTCAGGTATTACCGCTTCATCCCCTCCATGCTGTGGATGTCTGATAGCATGACTGTCGGGTCGAAGACAGAACCCGAGGAGTGAGCTGTGACCCACGTGACGAAGGTCAACAGCAACTGAAATGTGTGCTAAAGATTCAAGGTTCGTTCAGAGGGTGTCAAGATTGTTACTTTACTTTTTTTTACATTTTTTTAATGGCAAAGGAAGTCTCACTCGGAATGTTTTTGGAACCTTGTTTAAACACCAGTGGCATATTTGAAAGAATAAGAGGAAGCTGCCATTGTGGAAGTCACTTGCAAAAACAAGCAAAATACCAAAAGGCCGAATGAACAGCTGCTCCGGTGGTGTTAACCGAGGAGTGCACCCCGTTTGACCTTAACTGTTGCACATTTGGGCGCATCCCTAAATACTGTACATAAAAAAATGTTTGCAGAAGTTACAATGTCCATGACGGTAATTTATGTTTTAAAAACATCCCTTCAGAGAAGAGACATTGTGATGAGGTAGACGTTGAACAACACAAATTAAACTGTGACAGTAAGACTGTGAATATTTAAATGCGGCCATGCTAGTGTCGGCAGGCAACCTTACCCTCCTCCGAGAGTTGGTTGTCTTTGGTCTCCTGATCCATCTGCTGGCACCAACCTTCCATGCGTCCCGTTTCAGCCTGTAGTAGCTTCAGGAACCAGTGGCCATCTCTTCGACATAGTGTGCCCCCTCCACTAACACTCTGGGGGGCAATGCTGCTACTCCCATTCCCGCTCTCGAGCCAGGGATCTGGGGGCGGTAAAGATGAGGGGTCTAGTGCCGGGTCGAGGCTTTCTGAGAAAGAGGAAGAGCTACTTCGTGTGGTGGAGCGGTTGAGGAACTGCCTGGGAGGTGGAGGTGAGGAAGCGTCACCAGGAGTGTCGCCGTTGTCTAAGGAGTCCTGTTCGGGAGGGGAGCTCAACGATTGGCTGGCACTACTGACCATGACTTTCTTTTCAGTGGGTTTGGCCTGACTAACATGGGGAACGACAGTGATGTCCTGTTTATCTGAGACTGTGTCTTGTTTGGAGGCCATGCTAGAAGGACGATCGGGCCTGAAACAAACATCGTGACAAAGGGAGATTATCGAACAAGTATTTCACTACCCCCCAAAATTATATATACTGTGTTGGACAAATTCTTCAGAAATTGTCCCTCTTGCGCCTTTAAGTCAGGGGTGTCCAAACTCAGTCCTCAAGGGCCGCTGTGCTGCCTGTTTTCCATTTGAACCAGGTGTGTCGCAGCCAGGAGTGATGAAAAACAGGCAGCGCAGTGGCCCTCCAGGCCCGGAGATGGACATGCCTGCTTTAAGTCATCACTTTCAGTGAAAGATGAGTTGTGAGATGGAAGGGCATGAATTATGTCATCAACCAGGAAACGTATTCCAGCAATGATTCAGTCAGATGATGAAAATAAGAGAAGATGAGATCTGAGAACAAGGACAGGAAGTGCCGAGGCTGATGGAAAATGGTCACAATATGCGAATTGTTCACAAAAAAAAAGATTTTTTTTTTTATGACCCATAACACAAATTATGGAAGAAGTGTAAAACAGATGACAAAGCAAATTACCGGTAGTAGTCTAAAATAGTTTGTGCAGCTGGTCAGGATGAACAAAACGCCACAAATCTCATGCAAGAGGAAGGGAATATTGTAGCATATGATTGATCAGATATGTAAAATAGAAATATGACATCATACTGACATTCAATTAGACTCATTCAGCGAAATGGTCAAATCTTGCCTGTTGAACACACCATATGGACACAAGTATCGAGACAATAGCAATTACATAATCAATACAGGATGGGAATAAACCCCTTAGTTCCTTCTCACTATAGATTATTCATTTTAACAAGACATTTTGGACAATTCCATGATTCTGACATTTCCACCAAGAGTTTGGTGGAAAACATTTTGCCTTGATCGTGCCCCCAATGCACAAAGCAAGGTCCGGGGACACTTGGAAGACTTTGGTGCGGAAGAAGGCCCAATCATTGACCTCTCACATGTTCTTTGGGGGTGTCCGTACTTGCGTCCGTACAGTGTTAAAACTTTGTGTTGAAAGGTGATGTTGGTCGTTGTATTTTAAGTCAAACTTTTGAGCCCAAATACAAACAATTCATACGTATGCCAGGAATATTGCTTGAAGAACAGACAGAGTTGTGTGTGCAGCTATAATATAAATTCCTCACGTTGTTACAAGGACAGGAAGAGGACTTACTGCCACCCGTCCTCCACCTGTACTCCGATGGACTGAAACTTGGCCAGTGGTGGGCTTTCCTCTCGTGGAACTTCTTGTATACAGTCAACCTCAAAAGAGAAAATCACATCAAATCCTTATTTCATTAGCCCTCTCATGTGATTGCTTTTCTTTCCAAATGTCACGTTCCATTGTTATTCTGGTTGCGTGTTTTCGGTGTGCCGACACTGGAAAATGGAGGAAGAGGTTATTGTTTCAGGACACTCAGAGGAGAACAAGCTAAATGTGGATATAATGTACAGTGAACCCTGATTAGCAGTGGTTATGAACCAAGCCCTGACACCAAAAATGGTGAGTACAAATTCACAGTTGCCTCCATTATTAGTTTAAACCGACCCACAGAACTATGATCCAAAAACATTTTCATAGAATTTCAAACTCATTTTACAACATTATGCTGAGTTTTTGGAAAAATCCAGCGCGAGTGCAAGGGTGCTTGTGTGTACTTCACAATATGTCATATTATAATTACTACTTTCCTACTGAACATTTTATGATGTTTATTACTCAGCGATTCATAGACCCTTTAAAAAAAAAAAAAAAAACTGTACATACTGTTTCGTCAACGACACTTTACTGTACATTACTTTACGAAGCTAGCTGTTACCAGCTATCAGCGGTTAACTCCCGCCATTGCCACGAGGGATCCAGACCTTTCTCTGCATTCTCTTGAGGAGTTTACCACCCTCAATTTTTTGGGCGTCAACCTTTGAAACCTGCCTGTCATACCTCTACTGGAATTTTCCATCACGCTGCTGTTTGTGAGCTAGCTACTCAACCTCAAAATACTGTAGTTGCTAATTAGCTTTTACAAAAAATTGGCGAGTAGCTGAGTTCGCAAATAATGAATCACACCGCGGCCTACCGAACTAGAAACGCAGGACAATTTGTGCCATGAGGTGTCATTCCAGCACACTACATGGTATAAATATTAATATGGCTTGAAGCTTGGCATGCTGAAACACCAAAATGTAAACTACCTGGATGCCAATTGAAGAAAGTTTCCGTCTGGGCACTGGGACCACAAGAGCCTCGTCAGCAGAGTTACTCAATCCTGACTTCATCGACTCATGCAGGACTAAACTTGAGTCGCTTGTTTCCGTGGAAGCGTTGGCTGTGGTGGAGACGAGCGGCTCTCGGGGGATGGCGATGGGAGTGGGGATGATGTGAGGAGGGCGAGGTAATCCCCGGGCCAGGCTGTTGGCACGGGTGCTGTCAAGGCTGTCGGACGAGTTGCTGTGCGCGTGGCTCGACTGGCTGTTGACCTCGGACCTTTGGTCCTGATGCTCCAGGTAATTGTCTTGTGCTGACTCGGTGCTGCTCTGCACCGTCACGGAAATGAAAGGTTTGGAGGTCGTGCGTGGCGGCACGGGTGGCGGAGCAGCCTTCTTACAGGTGGTGATGCATGAAACTGAGAGATAAGGGACACGAAAGCGAATCGCATTAGGACAAGGCACATCAATGAATTCATAACATCGCATTTGATGGACGTGCAAAACTTTCAAATGCAGTCATTCAAAAAGGAAGAGATAAACAAGCAGCTCCAAGGGGGCTTCAGCAATAAATATACAAATGGAAAACATTTGAAAGACTGCCACCGTGATTAAGTCTGCATAGTAAAAAACTGCCAAGTCTTTAAAGTCAGAAAACTGATGATAAGAAAAAGCACACTGGGCAGCACATGTCCTCAGACACATATCTGACAAAACACATTAATGGCATCTGCCACTGCCAATTCAAAGGTCAACGATAAATAAGAACGTTATGAGGATTTCTCGGTTATGAAGTGGTACTTCAGATCCTGTTCAATACACATGCGAAATTGGATATGTCACTATAGACACCACACAGAGTAATTTGGCAAAATGGTCACAAAAGATAAAAAGTGTAAATTTGTTGCCAGTACGCCCATTTCCTTTCACGATGTACACTTTTAAGTTCACTGTTGGAAGTTCAAAATGGGATATGTCCTATTTCCAATCAGTCTGGAATGCAGCCTGCTTCAGACAACATTTTTGAAAGGATTGCAGTTGGTGACAAGTATTTTAAAACACACACACACGCACGCACACAAAGCACATGCACACCAACTTCTTGTTTTCACAGGAGTACAGCAAAACAAGAAAATAAAATCCATTAACAGGCAGCGAGCTAGACCAGTGAACCTCAAAGTCCCAACATCACATGACTCTGTAATGGCCAAAAAGGATCATGCGCCTCACTTTCAATACTTCTGTCTGATTCGCAGAGCTCATTTCCAAGCGCTGCACACAGCATACAGGTAAAAGCTGCCTTAAAAAAAAAAAAAAAAAAAGATACCACCTCGTACGAGATCACTTTACATTCAGTTGCGCAGGGGAAAAAAAAAAAAAAACTATTTTAAAGCTTTGGGCCAACCCAAACGCTTTCCGGTAGCTCCTTTCAAGATTCCACTGAAACTGCTGTCAGGCTTCACGCATGCTGAGATGGAAGTGCTGCGCTTTCCAGATAAAACCGCCGGGCCAAACGGGGAATTTTGCAGTAACATTAGGAATGCTACAGCTGCCACGCAAGCCTTCCAGCTGGATCTCCATGTGACACCAGGGAGTTAATTCACGGAAGCATCAAAACAGCACGCAGGAGTTACGACGGGGGGCCGTTGACACACACCCGCTTTTGTTCTTTGAGAATACGATGAGCCTGTTCATGTTTCAAATGTCATGTATGTTAAAAGGTGATATTCTGAATGCCTTACGTATCCTTTTAAGTGTCAGACGATGAGAAGTGATTTAATTAAACAGCTTCATGGTTTATAAGCCCAAGTTTGCTGATCTTTGGGGAGATCCCGGTATGTTAAAAGGTGATATTCTGAATGCCTTACATATCCTTTTAAGTGTCAGACGATAAGTGATTTAATTAAAGACCTTCATGGTTTATAAGCCCAAGTTTGCTGATCTTTGGGGAGATCTCTAATTGAAAAAAAAAAAAACATTTGATGCAGTGTTAATTTCGTTGACTAAAAATGATCGTCATTCTTTTCGTCACACTTTTTTTTGAACGAAAACAAAAACAGAAGTCAGGAAGAGACTCCGTTTATTTAAGCAGGACTTTGGGGAGATCTCTAATTGAAAAAAAAAAAAACATTTGATGCAGTGTTAATTTCGTTGACTAAAAATGATCGTCCTTTTCGTCACACTTTCTTTTTAAACGAAAACAAAAATAGAAGTCAGGAAGAGACTCCGTTTATTTAAGCAGGAAAATACAGAATTTTCTGCAATTTTCACTGTAAAAATGGTCAAAATACATTAAGAACCACACCAAAATCATAGTCCAGAGGACAAATATTAATAGTTGTGTTCTTATATTTATTCGTTTCTTTTGCCTCTCATGATGACAAGGGAGGCACAGCCTCACCTGCCTCCGGTGAATGCACATCACTGGCAGACTCCCTTGACCAGACTTCTTGTTTTTTCATCACTTTTGCAGGGCCTTCCAGTTCCTTCTTGTTATATTTAATCGTTTCTTTTTCCTCTCACGATGACAGGGGAGGCACAGCCTCACCTGCCTCCGGTGAATGCACATCACTGGCAGACTCCCTTGACCAGACTTCTTCTTGTCTTTTCATCACTTTTGCAGGGCCTTCCAGTTCCTTCTGATGTCACTATTGCACAAAATGCTCTCAATTTGATGACTGTGTTCCATGGTATATTATATTGTGAAAACAGTCACAGTGATTGGTCTTGTTTTTTTATCATTTGAACAGGAGTGTGGAGACTTTTTGGAGGAAAGCATTGTGACATTGTCCCATTTTTTCTTTTCTTCCACTTTTCTCAGAAGACTTTTGAGGTCACAGTGATTGTGATTGGTCTTGTTTTTTTTGTCATTTGAACAGGAGTGTGGAGACTTTTTGGATCCATTTTTGGAGGAAAGGATTGTGACATTGTCCCATCTTTTCTTTTCTTCCACTTTTCTCAGAAGACTTTTGAGTTTGTGGGATGATAATCTAATCCATACAATGTACTGTATCTGCCTCATTGCGGTTGTTCAAGGGGTGAGTGAAAATCGTTAAATCTTTGAAAAAATCATCGAGACCAAATGGCCTTTTGAAACGGCTCAGAATACACGTGAGCTGTTGTGAAAACACGAAACAAAAGGGGTACTGACTAATACAAATGTGACAACCAGTGTTTGGAATGTCTGGAATTATCTGATTATGACGAGGTGACACACTGCAGCCCTTGCAGAAACAACATTGAGAAAAATTATCCCATTTTGAAAAAATAAATCATGGACATTAGAACCTCTTTGGGAATTCTCTTTCCATTCCAGTGTCATATTGAGCAGATAAATGATGCCCGGGGGAGTTGTGCCATAACGTGGGAGTAGCCCAACTTTCCACAGATTGACGTCATGTTGTTCTTCTATAGGCCACAAACCAGTGCAGAAAATTATTTCCTTTCATTGCTTTGTCATCCATCCATTTTTCTGCCACATAGTCTACACTTCAATCAAATTGACCGTCATGGATGAGATGGAGCTTGAGTTTGGGAAAGGAGCTGGAGCCATGCGTAAACTAAGTCTGAGCCAAGATATTAACCTAGAACTTTTCAATGTGAGGGAGACATGTAAAAAAAAAAAAACAAGATCCACCGTGCCAAATTATTTTCACCGCAGCCAAAAGGATGAAGGATAATAAATCTTCCTTTGACAAAGACAAACTATTAAAAGGGCTTCACTGTAAAGATGGAGAGTGTCCAAAGCAGACAATCTTTCAGAACAAATGTACTCTTGGCAACTTACATGGCAGAGATTCTCAATGTAACAGGGGCTTGCCAGCATCTGACCATCATGCTGCCTGAGCCATGCCCACGTTCTGATGTCAGGATGTACAGTACACCATGTAGACTCTCATAAAATATATCAGCAGATTAACTCCGTTTGAGGAGGATTAGGTGCGTGCATGTGTGTGTGTGTGTGTGTGTGTGTGTGTGCGCACACACGCATCTGAATGTCCATGCATCTGTATACCTGCCCTACAGCTCGATAGATGCAATATGATGCCATCTTCATCGTGCACACTCTTAAACCAGAATGCGCAGAGCCTGGCTCCCCGCCCCAAAAAAAAAACATAATGACTTTATGTCGGGGCGCTAACACAAAAATCACATACACTACACAGTATGTCATGAAAGAGGACTTTTATGTGGGCTTTCTTCACTCCACAGATCAGCCAAGAAACTAATGAGGCGAGCTAAAGTTCCGTGGCGTTGCAAATTGGTTACAAGGGGCGAGGGTGCGTGGGTGGTTAGATGGGGGGAGGAGGGGGGGGGGGCGTACCAGTGAAAATTGAAAATGTTGGCTTTCATTTAGACGCCATCTTGTATCCCTTTGCAACTCCAACCTCAACAGCTGTGCAAACAAAACTAATGTTTGATCCACTGACAACCATTTGCAATATTGGCAAAGTTACACAAAATATTACTATTATTACACTGGATTATATTATTATTCACAGAAAATAAAGTGGTAACACGGCCTCAAGGTTAAATTGGCTAAATTGCAAAAATCAGTGAGATTCCTCAGAAAGGAATCCAGCCACCCAAACAAGCAGGTGCTTTGTTGCCAAAATGTTCCGAGTGGAATCTGTAGTGACCACTGAGCACTGCTGTCAAACTGACTGGACAGTGGTGCTGTTGTCTTGCTCAAAATGTCATTTTTCAAGGCTGAAAAACAATCAGCAGGAATAAGCTTGAACATCTTAAAGATTGTCAACAATTCCTCAACTATTGTTGACATGGTTGAGAGTTAAAAATTTGTGGTTACTTTCAAAGGACAACAACTTGACACTTTACCAGCATCACAGAACACACCGGTACTTTGTTTGACTTCGGAGGTTCCACTGTCATCGAGGACTATAAGCACAACGCTATAGGTACAATAAATCACAGCCCTATTGACAAGACTGTCGGCAGCATTGGTGATGACAAATAAATGATATATGTAATGACTGCAGAGTGCTATCAATCTGTCATCATCCTCCACTGACTGTACAGGCGGTGTTTTAATACGGTGATTTATTATCTTTTGTTACCTGCAAAAACAGAGCATGTATACTGTACTTTATTAGTCTTGTAGGAGCAATTAAAGAAACTCTCTCGCCTGATGCATTTGTCAATGAAGTTAACCACTGTTGTAATTTGTTGCAACAATAAAAGACTCTACCCGAGCAGCTAGCCAGACGGTGGCTCTGAAGCATCATTGCTCCACTTGTTTGAGACACAAAAATGTGGCAGCCTGGCCTAATAAACTCTGAGTGTGTGTGTGTGTGTGTGTGTGTGTGTGTGTGTGTTGGACCAAAACGAAACCAAACAAAACAAAAATCAGTTTGGGCCATTTACATGAAATCGTGTCAGTGCTGGTTATGTGTCAATAGCATTGTCCTTATGTTTGTTGATGTCAGACAAGATGCCGGAACAATGAAACACAAAAGGTTGATTGTGACGCTCTATTTAACAGTTGAGCATTGCTTACCAAAGTGTCTGCACTTCTGTATTGTTTAATCTAATCACAGCCACAAAACAATGATAAACCTGCCTGAAAGCAAGACAATCCCCATTGTCACCATGATCACCCCCATTAGATAAGAGCATAATCCACAATATCGTGTTTGAATGACATATCAACAACCAATGAAGTACAATTAAAAAAAAAAAAATTGAATCAAGATATAGGAAGCACATGTTTTGGGCCTAGAGGCAGTTTGACTCAACAGACATGCAAGGGTGACCATAGTTGAATTTGAAACATTATTTCACAGAAAACATTATTGTTCTTACCAAAATGCCCAATTTAAATGACCAAATTGTAGTCGTATTTTGTCTTTCTTTTTAACATGAGGTAAGAGGTGAGGTAAAATATCATATTTCCCATGTCAGATAGGTAAACATCTCAAGGTGTTATGGTTTTAATCTCAAACCATATTCAATAGAGATTCTATAAAACGAACTTCTGACACGAAAAGTTCTTACCTTTCAGTCAGACACACGCAAAAGCCAAGGGTGGTAGTCTTAAGAAAAAAGTTGTCAATGTGAAGAGAATGACAGAAGACGTGTAAGATTAGTGTTCCTTTTGTTTGAAGCCGAAAAGACTGTCAGGGGGCGTGGTGGCATTGCGAATGAGGCGTTCAAGTTAGCCTCGGAATCTCGAAAATTCATATACTGTAAATAATGCCGATGCCCGATGCTATTTTTAAAAGATGGGCGTTCAAGTTAACCTCGGAATCTCGATAATTCATATACAGTAAAATAATGCCGATGCCCGATGCTATTTTTAAAAGATCCTTTCATGAGAAACATACACATAAATACTGAACTGAAAGTAAACGCGAGTATTTCACAAAAATATAAGTATAAATGATGAATTTTATAAACAATTTCAATAGTTGGAAATATTCCGAAATTATTGAAAGCAACAATTGGACTTTTGTCGATAGTGGGACGTGTGGTGGAGAGCGCCACTATGTGGATGTTTATAATCACGTCAGCAAACGCTGCAGTCACGGCAAAGCTAAGTTGCGTGGAACCAGTCAAATATTTAGTCAGTAGCCACAACATCCATCGGGATTTCATGCACAACATCTCCAAGAAATCTAACACAGACGTACATTTGCATTGGAAATGCAGACATATATAAAGATTGCAGTAGTGTAGAGCAACAATTTATACAGAGGGCTGTTGAAAATGTTTTTCCTATTTCCATCCATCCATTGTCTTTTTCACCTAGGAAGTCAAGGATCAATTCTACAGACTATAAAGCCTAAACATAAAGCTGACATCCCCGCAAGCATTTCTAGATCATAATGGTGGAATGCAACACAACACAATACAATATATCCTGATTTATGTAGCGCTTTCACAACAGGATTAATATCTACGTAAAATTCCTTTTACTACCAAGGTTGTGACTATTCAAGTTGAAATGTAATAAAATAAATAAATGAACATTTTGGAGTACACGCGCTAGTTATGTTTAAATGATGCTAGGATTAAGAGGGGATCACTGGAAAGAGTTTTACCTTCAGTCCCAAAAAGTTAGACCTGCAAGCATTTCTAGATCATAATGGTGGAATACAACACAACACAATACAATACATCCTGATTGATATAGCGCTTTCACAACAGAATTAATATCTACGTAAAATTCCTTTTACGACCAAGGTCGTGACTATTCAGGTTGAAATGTAATAAAATAAATTAATAAACATTTTGGAGTACACGCGCTAGTAATGTTTAAATGATGCTAGGATTAAGAGGGGATCATTGGAAAGAGTTTTACCTTCAGTCCCAAAAAGTTAGAGAACTCCTGCATTAGACTATGCACGTTTGGCTTTGTTTGTGTGCCAAGGATTCACATATATACTGAATGATCCACGAGGATTACTACCGGGGTTGATATAACTGCATTTTATCCCATCTTTTCTCTATTATTCCTGATAATCTACAAAGAGAATTTAGTTTTAGTATTCTTGTGTGGGAGCTGTAATATAGTTCTGCAACAAGGTCCACCAGAGGGAGCTCTCTCCAATCGCGCCAGTTAAGTTACATTCTGCAAAACGTACAACAATGAATGTACTAATGTATACCTTACGATGAATGTTTGGTATTATGTGTAGATGGATAAAAGAGCATGGAAATCCCAAACAGTCACAAACAATTTGACTGTGAACCATAGAAAGAGCATGAGTTTGATGCTATGAACACCAAGCTAATCACCAACCAACTGTCCCAGTCGAGTAAATGCTAACTGGTTTGAGGATGGGTGGAGGAACTGGCTTGACATTGTTACCTGTGTGTGTGGGTATGATGCGTGGTCTGTCTGTCCCCAAACGCTGCAGAAAAATTGCAAGTTGTTTCTCCTTTGGGGCTTTGTCCAAGCCAGTGGCTATCAGGTAAGAGCCAAACTGTTCTTTCCATGTCTTCCATTGTGTAGAAAGGCCGTCTAGTATGGGCAAAAGAGGCTGCATTTGAACTAAAATTCTGGTGTGTGTGTGTGTGTGTGTGCGTGTGTGTGTGTGTGTGTGTGTGTGTGTGTATATTTTATTGGATCAGTGCCCCACTCACTAATGGGTATCTCAAACTGTGTCATGAGTTAAAATAAAGTTTGTCTCCTCTTTCTTCTTTGTTTTTTTTGATAAGGTTATTAGAATACATGTATTCCCTGTCAACACATGTACAGTCTATGTTTTTCCAGTCAGTGACTCACCAGTGCTGGTGCCGTAGGTGCGAACAGTGGTGTCAGTTGGCGGGAGCGAGCCTGAGTCTAGGGAAGCCACGTCATCATCTTGAGAGCAGCCCGCCTGGATGGCTCTCAGGTAGCTGTGGCTGCGGGAGCGGAAGCAAGTGGGCATGGGCAAGTCTGGAGGATCTGGGTTGTCCTGAGAATGGGAACGGGAATCTCGGAATGTGGAGTCAGAGCTACGGTCCTCGTAATGATGACTCATGTCCAGGTCCCGGATCTGTGCGGAAGCAGATGGAAGAAATGTCTGGAAACATTCAATTTATTTTAACCCTGGAACCATGGATGTGAACATGTTTTGAATTTTATCCATCCATCCATTTTCTATACCGCTTGATCTCATCGATGTAGCCTGTTTGGACTTTGTATGAATTAAAGTGAATTCATTTATTCCAGGCTCAAAGTGTGGCCTTCATCTTTATTAACTGTTCAGTCTATGTTTTGAGTGCCATTGTAACAGTCCTAACTGCCATATAGTGTAAGTGTAAAAGGAAGTTAAGCACTGCGCAGTGTCATGTCAATCTCAGTGTCATTTAAGATAGGCTCTTTGAGCATCTTTAGGGATCACTTCATTTCATGCGGGAAAGTTTGCTCGGAGATAACTTCATGAAATATTCATCTGGTACTTTTTTTTTTTTTTATGAAGTAATAAAAAATATCGGCTTAGCAAAGCAGAGAAAAATAAATTGCCCCGGGAATACAATTTTGGGTCTCACTCGGCTTACAAATAGCGCATCAAATCCAACAGCCAACTATAATTTTGAAGCACTGACCTGCCCCATACAGCTACGTCTGCCCAATGTGCTGCAGGCATGGCCGAAGTCATCATCATCCCAGTGTGGCACAGGCGAGCCTGTGCCCCCAATGCAGTCAAGGTTGTCCAGGCTGCGGTTATTGGCGAGCTCTCTGAGAGATGGAAGACAGCTGCAAAACAAAACAAATGTACTCAGGTCAAATTGGAAGAGCAAGCGATATCAGGACATACTTTGGCAAAGGAAGGGTGAACAGTCAACGTTGATATTTGATGATGGGGAGGCAGCAAGAGAGGAAATTCCAAACCAGGTGTGCAGCAATTGAAAGAGAAATAAAAAGAGGACTAGCGGATGATTATTCAAGGCATCGCTTTTACTTTCTCATTGCGTGGCCTCCATTTTTCAATTTCGATTTATCCCTTACAAAAAAACGTTTTGCAAACTGACGTGCAGTTACGGTGCTGGTTCCAATTTGCTTCATGTAAGTACACAAGCAAGTACTGTACACATATTGTAGATGCCATGTGAAAAGCAATAGGCTTGAACTGAAAATAACATGACATCAGAGAATATCATCATAGTAAAATCAAAATGTCTATCTCGTACGTGCTAAGAATAACTAATACAAATAAAATTACCAATAAAAACAAATTACACAATTGTTTTTTACAAATACAATAAGGAAAAAACAAACAAAAAAAAAAATTACAAGATCAATTTTTGGATCGGCTAGGTTTATAATTAAGTAATGACATTTTTTTTTTTGTAAGGGATTTGAGCGTCAGAGCATGCAAAGCTGGTGATGTCGGGTGGCATATGGTCCGCTCACTGAATCGTCATGATGCCAAACAAGCAAAAGAAAAGGGTTATGCTTCTCAAAAGACAACTTTGACAACGTTGTCATGGCTGGCGCACAATGATCATAACAATGAGCACGATATGTCGACAACTTCTTCCCCAGAGTCAAATCACAGAATAGGAGTTTTCCCCGAAAAGCGCCGGGCTGATGCTATTTACAAGCTTGCTGGTGGGCAGCTGTGATTGACAGCATGGCATGGGTTTGTCACCTCCAGGAAGTTATTGCTGGCTTGTCGGCGAAGCAACAACACACCCCTGGGATGTGTCTTATTTGGGCCTATCACTGACCTGCTCATTGACCTGCCCAGTTGGTTGAGGGAGGACACACTGTGGACGGGTGACCACAGGGCATCCAGTTCCCCTTGCAAAAAGGAATAATCCAGGGTTCTGCTGCTCACGCCAGCAGGCCACAAGAGAGCCACGGGTTAGTCATTCATGCATGTTGACAATCCAACACAATGTGGTATTCTTGATACCTAACACGCATCAACATGTTATCTTCCGCATGGACCAACTTGACAACTCTCAACATATCAAGCAAACAGCATGCCAAGTAAACAATATGACTATTGTTTTACAATAATAATTACAATAATAATCCTTGTCTATCTTTACCTTTAATCTGCCTGTCTGTCTGTGTCATGAAAAAGGAAAATATATATATAAAAAAAAAAATTCTCATTCCGATGCACACTCAATAAAATATGAAATACAAATGTGTGTCCATTCGAACGTGTGATGACAAGGAATTATAATGTTTTTTGCTCTACATTGCTCTACCAAAGAAGGTTCCCCACAAATCTTTCATATAAAAATAGCGCTGATGTGTCGCAGTTGTACCCCTCTGCAAATTACAAGTAGCATCATGTCTCGTTAAATGAACGCCTCTGTGACAGTGTTGATTTAAAAAAAGGGGGCCTTGCAGTACTGCAGTCACAAGGATGGAATTCTTGCACTGCATCAATATATTACATTAGTTTACCAAATGTTGTGGCCCGCAAGGATTTGTTTTTGGATCCCCTAAAGGGATCTGTATAAATGCAGAATGCTCAATCTATTACTTATTCGAATTTGTCTCAGTTGCTTTGGTACAACAAATTTGCGCAAATAGCAAAATATCACGGTTCCCCTGCAGAAGCCATTTTCTTTCTCAAAAGCCTTACTACATCGCTCAGAAGTTAAGATTTAAAGTTTTTATGTCATTTTCTACAAATAAGACGGTCAATATAACAGCACGCTCTGGAGGGAAGCTCTGGTGAAAACTGCTGCTTAAGTTTGAATGACAAAATCGGTATTCTAAATAAATTGAACGTTATACCTTAGAATATGAGGAATGATATTAAATTAGCATTTGAATAAAACCACACCATTGCATTGCATTGTTTGAATCACCATTAGATCAAAAAAATAAGTCGACATTTGATCTCCACAGCAAATGTAGCCGGAGGAAAAATCCGTGTCAACTTCAGAGCGTAGGTGTGTGTCCCCCGGCAAATGTTTTGAATTCGGTGTCGACATAAAAAGACATGGCAGCGCTGTCTTGTTTCCGTTTTCACCATATTGTCATTGCTACAAAGAAAGTGCTCTCTTCACACATTTGATGTGACGTTACCTCAAATGTTGCCCTGCTGTGCCTTCATCACACATAGTGCATCATGTCTGCTTTCGAAAGCCTTTTACAAAGAGGCAAGAGATGTCTTGTCTACTTTCAGTGACTAGTCTATGAATAAACATCAACAGGTCAAATACTGATAAAACTTTTATGGGGTAGGTTTAGATTTCTGCTACCTAGACACAATCTACAAGCAGGGGTGTCAAACTCATTTTTGTCACGGACCACATTGTAGTTACGGTTTCCCTTGGAGGGCCGTTATGAATTTTGGGAAACCATATAAATGTTTAACCACCTCCACATATTACATACACGGCGCACAACAAATTGATGGATAAACAGTTTTAAAATCAGAAGTCAAGAACGACCATGTGAAATTTTGGTTCAGACTTTAGCAAGCATCATGGAACTTGGCGTGCTTGATTTGCTTTTGCGGGCCACATAAAATGATGTGGTCGGCCAGATCTGGCCCCCGGGCCTTGACTTTGACACCGGTGATCTCCAGTATGTACGTCGCTTTTTTATTTGAGCTAATACAGTACAACATGTCTTTGTCACATTTTGGGCTCTACATTCGAGCGCACACACACTCAGGCGTAAAAATTGGCACAGCTTCATCTTCGTGCCGGCGCGAGCCTTGTTTCGGGGCGTTTGGCAATTTGGCAGACCGCGCTGCAAACCGCCTGTTTCAACTGTACGAAATAGCGAAAATACCAAAGGAAACTCAAATCCACTCATGCATACAGTAAGACCGCTCTTTGGCCTAAAATTGCGCTGGGCACGCATATCAAGCCATTTATGTGTGCGAGTGTGTTTTTGTTGTATTTGTATTTCTCACCGAACTGGTATAGAATATGCATCATGAATACATCATTTATGCAAAGAAAATGGAAGCTTGCTTGGCCCCTTTCAAATGTAAAAATGTTCTGCCTATCAATTCTCTGCACCTTGTAACATAAATTAAACTAATCAGACTACTAACTACATGTAAATGGCTTTTTAAGTGCCCTCGAGTGTCTGCCTGTTGTCAGCGCACTCTAAAGAGCTTAATTAGATGTTTGTTCTTAAAACGCACATTGAGACTCATACAGGCATTTTCACCGTCCAATTCTTATTGAGTAGGCCAAAATTTCTCCTTCCTTTCAAAGGTTCTCGCAACTTCTGATTGAGAACTAACAACTGGCCACTCCCACTTTATTTAGTGCATGCTGAATAGAATGCGTAAGATTACCCAAGATAATTATATAACGTGTAACATGCGCTGTCTTAGTTGGCGGTGGCCTTACTTGCGTGGGGGTAGCTGGTCACTCAGAGAATGCTGCGTGGCCCTGAGGTAGCTCTGGCGGCGAGCGGCAGTCTTTGGCGAGGGTTTGGGGCTCCCCTCCGAGTCTTCGCTGTCCTCCATGTCTGCCATGGCCTTCACGTAGCTTCCGCTGCGCATGCGCCGGCATGGAATTTCATTGGCGCCCCCGCTGCGGCCTAATGAGCTGCTCCAATCCCCCTGCAGGCAGCAACAAACGGCTAAATTTTGTTTCCAAAGCGACGCCGCGCTGTCACACCACTTCTGTTTCATTACAGTGAGTGATGCTCATCCTATCAGGTCACAAATAGTAATCGTGGTTTCCATTCAAAGCGTTTGGTGTGCGACGGCGTTTAGGCCTTACTTACCCTTCGGCCGACCTGCAGGTAGTTGCAAGTCAGTTCTGGTTGGCATGATCTGGACTTGAGCAAGGACCTATCAAGAGTGGCTGAGCCCTTCTGGAGCACTTGCTTTGGTTGGCCCATAGTCAGTGCGGACCAAGATCCTCCTTTCATGTTATCATTCATAAGCACATTCCCTGGTCCTTCAAGTCCATTTCCTCCTCCACTCATCGGTGCGGCTAGTGTCTGATACTTCATGTCATTGCTGCTTTTAGATGAGCTGATGGTGTTATAGCCGCTATGAATGTATTTATTCTGGCCCCCGTGGCTCTCCTGGCCAGCGGGTCGTCCTAGGGTCATCATGGCCATAGTGTTGTGGAAGCTGCTTATGTCATTGCTGTCCAGATCATCGGAACTCCAGTACCCTGACATGTTGGAACGCGGCCGGCGCTTGGCGGTCGCTTCCGATTTAGTTCCGCGATCTTTACTTTTGGCTCTGCGGTTATGCTTCCCACCGTCGTCAGTGCCCGACGAACCTCCGCCGCTACCCGTTGAGCGTCCGTTGACGTTTCCTTTCATGTGGTGGCTTTCCAGTGACTGGGACTTTGCAAAGAGCTTCTGCACCGAGTGCAGCATGTAACGGATGCGACCAGGACTGTCCGTACGCTGTTTACCTGCGGTTACTGCAGATGTTCTGTGGAACTGCAAGGTGCTGAAGCCATCCCGACCGCCAGCTAACTGCTTATCAAACTCCAGAAGGCTGTGCGGTGCCTGGTTCTTGGTCATGTGATGCGATATTGTAGCCGAGCCGCTCGTAATCATGGACGTTCGTCCAGTAAGCTCAGCCATGCCCATACCCGATCCCATGCCCATCGACACGGACGCTCCCAACGTCCCAGTTCTCATTCCGCCTATGCCCTCTACAGGTGGGGAGAAGTCCGACGGATCGTAGGAGTTGTAGTGAATCCTGGGGAAGGTGCTGCTGTTTGACAGCTGGTTGTTGAGGGGGAGCAGGCATTCTGGCGGAAGGGACCCTGGGTTGGCTGATGGGTAAAGATGGGGGTCCATAGTGCCATATTGGTCCATTGTTGGGCTGAGCAGGTAAGGACTTCGCGGCATGGTGCTGGTCTTCTGAGGGTAGAGAGCCTCTAAGTGGCCAGCGGAAGGGTCACAGGAGTCAGACAGGTGTCTGGTATGGCTGGTCCCCAGCCCTTTCATAATGGCGAGGAGGCCCAACCCTCTAGTCGACCTCCAACCCTAGAAGTTGACTCCTGGCCAATAGATGGAGAAAAAAAAATGGAGAATTAGAATCAAACATACAAAGGCTATGCCAGAGATTACACTCCTACTCGCAAGGCCAACCAGACGACAAATAAGATATGTGTTGCACTGTGAGACAAATATTGTATGTGCCAACAATACATTGCCGGCTACAATGAACAATTGTGCTAGAAACTGATGGAACAACAATATACGTATCAATGAAGGTCTTCAGGTAGTGGGTCGAAGTGGGCACAATTACCGGCAGTCCACAAGAGGCAACTCCACAATTTACGTCGATTGAATATTCTCATTAATAATCTCTTCTTTCTGTAGCAATTTCTTCAAAGTTTGAAAGTAATGCAGAGTTCATCTGTCATCCATTTCGATGGATTTGTGCGCCCGTGATTGCAAAACTTTTGTGTCACTCGTAAACAATTCAGATCTCATAGGATCAGCAAGCATGAAATTCAGATGGTGTTTTGTGCTATGCAATATTAATAATGTTGCCAAAGAGCAATGTACTTAGCAAAAATAAAGTTCTACAAACATGCATTCGTTGAATAATTCAAGTGGTTTTACTTCTTGCTTGATTTCGTTCGTAAGGCATTGCAGCTTAGAAAACCTTGATGAATAGAGAGCGCATATGTGATGCATAAAAGTTGAATGTTGAATTACGTCGCGAGCAGGTCAGCGAGCTATTACGTGTGGCTATGATAATTTGAGCCGAGAGCCGCTAGGAGGGGACCTTGAACCTGAAACAGAGAACAGCAACAGACGAGCATTTCTGTACTGTATCATCTGGAAAAAAAGTAAAAATAAAATTATAACTTCCCAAGGAAAGGGATGACGAATGATAAAATGTGTCCGTGATACTTAACTACATCCTTAACCTCTGAGTCTGTTTCTGTGCGTGTCTTGGTGTCAAGAAAACCAGTCAGTCGGGATAGGCTACAGATCAAATGTGATCCTAATGGCATAATAATAGCGCGACACAAAATGCATTTTCGTCCAATTTGTACTTGGTGGTTATTATTTACCACCAAATTAGGCTGTGAAAAGTCAGGGAAAAAATAGCTGAAACTTGGTATTTGTTCTATTAAAGCAGATTGGATCAGAAGCTGGATTGGAGCCGACATGACTGACTGCGTTCTTAGTAAACAACAGACACACACTGATGGAGTGATGCAGTAAAGACATTTTGTACCCAGTGGAACGGCTATTCAAATTTACAAGGAAAAGCAACTCATTTTGCCTTAATTGCCATGCTCACCTTTACCTCAACCAAGACCCGCAGGAAGAAAAGATAATTGCAAGCTGCTCGATAAAAGGAGGCTCATTCATGAGATGATGCTACGAGGTGATGTAACGTAATTTAATTTTCGAACGAAGCTTCGGGTGAAGTCAAATGTAGCAGGTGTCGCATGACCTCCATCTTGCCTTCGTAATCCAATGTTTCTTCTGCACATGAATATCAAATAGCTGTTCAGCCCCCGCCCTCCTAAAAAAAAGTCTGTAAATGATATGCCTTGCTGTCAAGCCCCCATTATTAGCATGCTGCAAGCACAGACTCATTTAGTGTCATTAACGCAGCTTCTCTGAGTGCCATCTTTGCTGATAGGGTCAAATCCTCTAAATCCTTTTACACCACATTAGCTAACTGCCTCAGATCTCATAGTGGCACGCCACTCAGATAAGCTTAACACATCATCTTCAATGTGTCACCCAGTATGGCGACCGGTGCATTATCAACGAAGGCAGGCATAAAAGCTGTGCGCTTTCACCGAGTGAACGGATTTGACAAACTTCAATGCAGATGTTTTATCTTTCGTATGACATTGTAGGGGGACATCATAGAAAAACATTTGCTAGATTCCTGTTAAAACTCAAAGTAGACTACCACGTTTAACTATTTGCGCAGGTGGTCTAGTGGGATTTTGGTGAATTTGATGGAGGTGCAGGCAGACTGATAGGAAGATTTGCGTGTGTGGTGGCTGTCATCGTATTTCTTCCATAGATATGACATCAGTGTGCATTGAAACCTCTAAAACAATGTAGTGATCGATGAACTGAATGAATTATTATTCTATTTTTATTTTCATTATCTAATTTTTATGCCATTTTCTAAATAACCCTCCCTGCAGTGGCATTGCTGATCACAGTAGCCAACTTTGCATCATCCGCCCGTGGAGATCTGCTTCCATTGTCTCATAAATGTAACGTGCGTGTTTCAACCTCCCGCATGGACTTCAGCAAATTATTTTCTGCTTCCATCATTTCAGGGTGCCATTTTTTTAAAGTTGATGCTTCGATTGATGGCGAATCAAGTCAGCTGTGTTCACACCCAAAACGGTGCAAAACGCCCATTTTTAAGTGTGTACTGTGCCCATCTGCAGACATACCAAAACGCAGTCTAACACGCCCCTGCGCAGATTTACACTGTGCCTTGCGCTATTAGGCTCGGATTTGGCATGAAAATAGAGTCCAAGGCATAAATCTCTTTGTTCTATGTTTAGTTTGGCAGTAAACTTCAACAGGGAGTGGAAATAAACAAAATAAAGTCTCTTATTTTGAATGACTGTATCTGCCAAACTGCTGCTTGCTGTGAAGCGTGTTGAGTCCCCACCACCATACATAATGTGTATAGCAAGTCTGCACTCACAAGTCAAGTCTTGAAAAACTTTCAAGGCACCACTTTATAAAAAAAGTGCTTACATTCTCCACCGACAACGCTTCAAAAACTATGCCATGCCTTTAATTGAACCACAATGCCCACTCCGGCGTACCTGCATACACCGCTGAATGTGGAATGGATGTGTGTGAGAGAGATCAAAACTAGGCAGGTCCTATTCATGCTGGTAATCATGACATCCAATGTAACTTCAAATAAAACAGCCAGACGATTTACGATGCCCAGAAGAGACATTCAGTCATCAGAAAGGGAATCATCTAGGTCAGGCCGTTGTTAGTTAGAATACCAATGTTTAGTGCTCAGTGCGTGCAACAATGTGAGTGTGAGTGTTCATGGTGTGTGTGTAATATTACACCCTGCATGGAGCGTCTGGTGGCAGCCGAGTGCACAGGGAAGCTGCAATCTGTTCCTTCAAGGGTGGTGAGGGGCGTTTTGGCAGCGTGTCCAATCCATGACCTCAGTCATACTAGGCCAGTTCTCACCACTGACCAGAGGAGGGACATGTCACTAAATAAAAAATTTAAAAAAAGTCACATTTCACTTATTTTTAATGTTTCCTGGCATGTGTCAAAGCTAAATATCAAAAACAAACACCAAAGTGTTTTATTTATGAGGACGAGCTTGTTTCCAGTCCATTAACTGACAGACGGCATTAGGGATGCTAATGATGAGGAGTATCACACACGTTCTCATAGATTAATTTTCTCCCGTGAAATCACCTCTGGAGCCATCATAAATATGTAAATACGCATTTTTCAGGCTGCAGTTGTGCTAGGATGATGTTAATTTATCCACAACAGTGAATTTCTGCCGCACAAAAACTCGTTGAACCCTCATGTAGGCTATTAATACCACTTACACAATCGGATGAGATTAAAGACAAGAGCTGGACCAAAATTTTCCGCCTTTACAAAGGTGAATAATTCTAAATTTGGATTGACGTAATCAGAGAAAGGCAGCATGGTCGAATGCCGGTGCATACTTCTGAGGTCCAGGGGGCAAATCTGAGACCTGTGGGTACTCAGGCTTTCTCCCACTTTCCCAAAACATGCATATAAGGGTCATTTCAAGAGATTGAGGTCAGGGGAAGCAGAGGCTCACCTGCATGTTAATAGTAGAGAAAGGCAATAAAATAAAATAAATCATAATTCGGCGGATTATAATTCTTTGATACGATGACGACTTTACAACTAGCCAGGGCTTTCGCGTCAATTTGTAGCATCTTAGGGAATTGTAGAACGAGCACAAAATAATGTCAATAGGGGAATTGTGACCAGAAAATCTTGTTTAGGCAGAGTTCATTCTTCTTTGACAGTGCTTAAATCGAAAACTGAGGGTTATTATTATTATTATTGTAAAGGTGGAATTATTGATAAAGATCATGTTTTAGATCTCACAGAAGTGTAGCAAAGGACATACACTAGACACGGTAGCAGCATCATCACATAGTTTAGCCCATAAATCTTCGCTCCTGTATATGCGTAATGCAAATGATTACTTATTATTATTATTATAAATGTATATATATCTTTTTTACTCGTAATTTCTATAACAGCAAGTCAGTGGGCGAGCTTATGCAAAGGATATCATCCTTTCATCTGAGCGTTGGTGCACGGCTCAGTCAGTCAGAATTGAGTCCATCTGCTGTACTGGCCTGGAACACATGGGGCAAATCTCACGCGTCTGTGTGTGAGCTCACAATTATGGGTCCCAAACTTTGAGTGTTAAGGAGGAAGCGACGGCGTGAAGCTGCGGCGCGAGGTTGACGCCGGTGAAAATGAAAGCGATCCAGCGGGAATGAGGCGGCTTCCATGGCAGCGGAGGAAGATGAGAGACGAGTTGGAGGAACAAAGAAGGGGGGGATACGCAGCCAGGAGAGTTCATATCTTTAAAAACATGTCAAACTAAAATGAGTTTCTTTCCGCTGAGCTTTACTTTATAATACAGAAATATCAGGGGGGGAGATGCAGAGACCTTTGGAGGCACAGATGCTAAAAGTTGAAAAGAGGGCATATGGAACTTTAAAAAAAAACGTTTTTAATTAACCCATTCAGGGACAGCGGTTACTACAGTGGACAGCTTATTGTGTTAGCAGGTTACAGGCTGCATGAAAAGGTTAATGTGCAAACAAAACAAAAAAATAAAATATCAAAATGACTACGAAATGCTACTTTATGGCCATTCGATACAAATTAATAGCTCACTAATGAACAGTTGGGCAAGCAAATGGAGAGCTCCTTTGATGGAAATTGTAATGTTGGGGTAGGAAGGTAGCAAGAAAGGAAGGAAGGTAGGAAGGAAGGATCAACATCACGTCAAC